TAAAATTCATATGTAAAAACAAGAATTTTAATATAGATTTACATGTGAATCTTAATTATAACTTATAGTGAGTCAATTTACAATTTACAATCGAGATTATGAATCAGTTTAGGATTCATATATGAATCTTGAAAAATATATATATATCATCATGAATTTCAAAATAAAGACAAATAAATGCTTGTTTTTTTTAATAATTTATTTAAACAAAATATTGATTATATTTTAGATAATTTGATTTTAAAAAAATAGGTAATCTAGTTTTATTTAAAAAATGAAGTGTGGTAATTTTATGAAAAGGGATTAGATTAGTGATTTAATGGGTTGGATTAGTGACTTAATTACGTAAAAAGTTTTAAAATGTCCCCCTCAACTTTCGTAGGTTCTTTAATTTAGTCACAACTTTTCTTATATTTATATACTTTTCTTTTATGATCTTGGTCATTGAAAAATCTTATCTAATGATTGAGATCTCTTCTCACATTTTTAAATCTTATAACTTCCCATTTGAACTTTCTCATATATATGTATATACATATTATAATTAATAATAATATTTTACTTTTAGAGTTTACGTTATGTAGTGTTTATTAAGAAACTGCAAAAATATATGAATAATTAATCGAAATGGTGGATTAATTAGTTGAAATTGAATCAAGATATTAGATGGATCTAATATGATCTAATAGATAACCAGTAGTAATATTCATTAGATGGAACCAATCTAATCCAATCATACATTAGATTGGATTAAATTAGTTGTCTAATGTTAATTGCGTCAGATCGGATTGCAAAGTTTAACTTTTGATAAGATTGAATTGGATCGCATCGACTTGTATCCGTTGGATTTCAATTGATGCACATTCTTTGTGTAATTATTGTAACGCCCTCAGTTTTATCATGAGAGATGTTACGTAATCTAAAACAGATTCTCCAAAAGCACTTCAAAAATAATGGCTAAATTAAAACTTTAAACCGTTTACAGCAAAAGACTTTAAAAGAATAAATATATAACTTAATGTTAGCCCGTCCCATACCGAGTTGCTTTACAAATTTATCTGTCATAGATGATTGCACCTAAATATTGAACTTAAATGGATCAGACAAGTCTTTATGTATGCCCTTCTTTTTCTTTGTCCAACCTGAAACCTTCTGTCATTGAGATGCATAATATAGTCAGCTTATAAAGCTCAGTGAGTTCATGGTTTGCGTGAGTAAAGATCATTTCACATCATACATATCAACTTGTAAACTTTGTACCAAATAGTATGCATTTTCTGAAAAACATGCAACACTGAAAGAAAAGAGATCTCATAAATTGTCTGTCGGGTATGAGTCATTTAGTCAYTGRCATTCYMTGAGTTGTCCGACCTGCACCTGTCTAGACACTCATTACGGGGTTGTGCCACTTGTCATGTGACTTCTTGGTCAAATGTTCATCCGCGAAAACTGATCATAAAACTTTCAAATGAAATAACATGCTAGAGTTATTTGAAAACAAAATAAACACATAACATGCAACTAATCATAAAATAACATACATGTAAAATATATCGTGTATGTAAACTGAAACATCATGCATATGTACACATTATCATATAAATCATATAATGCTCGAAAATAGATTTATACATAGGTATGCATCCCATTGTAAGTCTCATGAAGACTCACCTTATTGCGTATAGATTGACTACCGATCGCTCCTGACCAAATGCCAACACATTTCATACCATAACATCTCATTAACGTCTTAATTTCTCAAAAAATCAACAAAAGTCAATTATTGTCATTCTGATCCAACCTAAAGTCAAACCTCGTATCTGAGCATCTTAATATGCCTCAAACAACTCTATTTGGCCGATCATTAAAATCCATATGGATCAAACGTGCCAAAAGTCAACCATTGGTCAACTCAGTCAATCCCGACTAACTATAGTCAAGCCCCAAGTCTAAAACTCGATGGCGTCCCAAAAAAACATTTTAATATCTTATAATCTCATCTCTCTAAATTAAAACGTCACAATAATTACTTTACTCAAATTACGACGCTTAAATCATCAAAACAATTTAATGATTTCTATTAGCATCCTCCTTAGAAAATAAATAATTAACTAATATTAATATTCAAAAATAAATTAACTAAATTTTAATTAAATACTAATTCAGTTTAATATATTAACTAATTTAGAAATTAAATTAATTAGTTAATATAAATTAATTAACTAAATCTGAAATTTATTAATTTGGATCAATTCACAAAATTATATAACTTAAGTACTCAAATTAAGCCCAAAAAATATAGGCTTCTTTTGTTAAAACAATAAGGGCCTAAAATATAGTTCACTAAATATATTTGACCCAACATTAGTAAAATAAAAGAGAAAGTAAAAAAAAACGTGGCCCAACAGACCAATAATCAGCCACCAAACAACAACAAATGTGGTCACGTCGGCAGTCGGAAAAACAGGCCATTTGGCCTCGTTTTTTTTCGTTTTCGATTTTTTTTTTGCAAAATCTCTAGAAAATGATTTTCCTCAACCATAGGAACAAAAATCAACGAAAACCATCAAGTATTGAGTCTCATACGCCCGTTTAAAGTTATGGTCTTAAAACCACTCGAAAATCAGTAAAAAAACTCAAAATCGAACACTCAAAACTAAAATCTGAGACATAAGGCTACTAAGGTTTCATAGAGGACCTAAAAACGAAGCCAACCATATAAAGAACTCGAAATTTGGTTGAGAATTTTACCTCTAATCGTCAATAAACGGAGCTTTTCGAACTCGAATTTCAACCTCCGATTTCTCTTTCAAAACTCAATGAAACTTCGGTTTTCTTGAAGCCAAAGTGTAGAGAAAAGTGTTGGCTACATATATATGTTCTTTTTTTTGTCTTAATAGTTGACGATTCGAACTGATATATAGCTTCAAAGGAGAGGTCGTTTTCGCGTTTCTGAATTTGCAGATCTGATGTATATTTACAAAACAGGTCATTCTGGTTTGGACCTGTTAACCTCTGACCCAGCCCTGAACTATTATAAAATAGCATTCGCCCCCTGGTTCTATTACTTTTGACATCTTTATACATTTCACCCCTAATATGACATTTTTCTTCATTTTTAATCCAATTTTCAAATATATTTATATTTTTTTTCCAATGAAATAAAACTCATTTTATTTTATTTTCCTTGTTCTTTTTGCTTTCTAATTTATTTATTTACCTCATTTTGGGGTGTCACAATTATTGACTTTTTAATTAAATAATTTTTTTACGATAAATAATAGAGAGAGAGAAAAAATCTCTGGGTGGAATGGTAAAGTACAACTTTTAAAAGTGAACATTAATTTTGAAACACTACAATATAAATGTAGATATTTATTTTGGGACATCGAAACAAATATTATATAATATATCATAATATATAATGTAAGAGAAAAAGAAAGTAAATACCTAGTCAATTACGCATATGTCAGTTAGGGGTGCACAAAACCCTAAACAACCCAACCAATCTAATATGAAGTAACCCGATGCCTAATCGAGTTATAAAATTTCAAACTGTAGGTGTTGGATTAGACGTATTTGAACCTAACACAACCTTATGAACTCATTCCCTCCTACTTTTATGTCTTTTCTAATGTTCTTGTTATTAATTGTTTTAAGAGTAAAAATCACATAAATGGTGCTTCTTGGTATTTCTTGAATGCCTTTAGGTATACATGTAAACGGGTTTCAAATTCTTTGACTTTTTGTGTTAGTTTATAAATGTCTAACTTCTGACATTTAGTTTAATGGTAACGTATCTGGTGTCCATTGGACGGACATAAAGAGTTGTACATATTTTAGAAAAATCCTTTCTCTTGGGTTGTGATAAGTACCCGGCTCATTCGGTCCGTTAGAAATACGGGCTTGGACAACTATTATCGAGAAAATGGATGGACCCGGGTTTATTCGTTAGAATTAACGGACGGACATGGGCAATGTGAAAATAAATATGGATAGGCTTGCCCAACCCGTTTATATTTTAGAGTTAATATTTTTTACCATTAATTGAAATTATACTAGTATATTTTAAAATTAAATTATTAAAGTTATAGAATGAGACTCTTTGGTTATTCTTGAGAACCCAATAAGGCTAAAGGGTTGTTTGTTTATGGAAATGGAAGTCTGAATTTTGTTTTTCATTTCTTTCTCCACTTGTTGAAATCCATGTGTTACTTTAGTTGCTTAAAATTTTAATTACAACAGTGTTTTTTTCTTTACTTTTTGGTTTTACATTTGTTAATTGATTGTTATTGATCAAGCTTATAGATTTATAAGAGTTACACTTTTTAAACCCATTAACCCGTGGATAGCCCATTAAATTCTTAAATTCCACTAGTCCAGCCGTGTTCAATTTTAACATCAGTTACGAATTTGTAATAAACAAATGCTAAGAGACCAATTTGATGGTTTCAATTAGAATTGATATATTCAAGGAATAAAACCCAAAATTACACCTAATTTTATATCAATTTTCGTTTCTTTTATTGCAAAATATCAACAATATGATACTTTCACGTTCACCATTTGCATAGACGAGTTGACTTTTCTTGGTGCGTGTATGTATGTGACTGTTGATTGGTACATATATTCGAATCTCCTCTCCTCTCCTCTGACATTTATTTAACTCGCGTAAAATCATAAAAAAAACAAAATCTAAAAATATTGTATTTTAAAATTATTCATCTAATGTCCATTGTAAATGTCATAAAAAAAACCTTTGCCAAGTCAAGGGACAATTTGGTAATTTACACCCATTCTTATCTTGAAGATCCCCATCACACATGCCCAAAATGTCAAACCTAAGACCCAGTCAAACAAAGCACACCACCCCTTCCAACTTGATTCATTGTTTATATATTCATCACTTCCTAATTATTTGACATTTACTCTGCTTCGTATAAAGTCAACTGCCATCACAGTTGATCAAAAACACCATTTCTATCAACTCAACTCCGATCATGGTTGGTGCTCCCATCTCCACCATGGATCCATCCACCAGATACGCACCCACTGCAACCGCATACGCAACTCCAAGTGCTGCAGTTTCCACCGTTCAGCCGTACCATTCTCCTTCAGCACCACCACCTTACTCCGCCATGCCACAACAAGCAGCCGCCCCTTACCCTCCAGCTCCCTACCCCGGTGCACCCTACTCAACCGCCCCATCCTACACTAATGCATCATCCATCTATCCTACACCTCCTCTTGGTTTATCTCCATTCCCATCATACCCTCCTAATTCAAATCCTATGGCATCACTTGTACCATCTTACCCTCCAAATTCTGCTCCTACTGGATCAAACCCTTTTCCGGCACAGTCTTCATTCCCAACTTACCCTCCTAATTCATCTCCTTATCCAAATTACCCTCCTGCCACTGCAACATATCCGCCATCTGCCGCCACATATCCACCACAGACAACATACCCACCATCAGCATACCCAGCACCACAAGGTTATCCTCCACAACAAACTGCAGCAGCACCAGCAGGGATCTACCCACCACCACCATCAATTGGAGTGTATCCACCACCACCAACACCATACTAAAATCTCCTTTCTGGTACCTGTATCATTGAACTGAATAAGCTGCTAGACTTGATCCAATTTACCTCTTTTTTATTTTATGATATGTTATTTTCAATTTGATTTAAAGCATGTATGCATTTTTGTTTCCCTATGAAATCTCAACACTCATTCAAAAGGGAAGAGAGATTGTGACAACCATAACAGCTTCAATTTCCATGGCAGTTGGGAGGTGGGCCTCATGTGATTTGTAGAGTTCCCCAACTCCCCAACCTACCATCATGTGAATCAACCAAGAAATGAACTTTAACAAGTTAGAGTTGTTTCTAGCATTATCTGCAATAAATATGTAGTGATTCAAGTAGTTGGGACTCAGTTAAGCTAATAATCTAGAGTTCAGATCTTGCCTAGCAGATTACTAGAAATGCAAAACATTCATGTAGATTCATAGATTAGGAACAAAAGCTTTTGTAAACCATGACCTTCCTATCACACACAAGTAACTTTACCATGTTAGATTTGAGAAATAATAAACAATTGATGATGAACTTTGATATCAACCTAAAAAAAGAAATCTTTCTCCCTACCATCATCTCAGGTTTTTCACCACTCCTTTATCGTTCTCAAATCTAACAAAGCATAACCAATGGTGTCCAATATGAGGCAATACAAGAAGCATGCAATAGGGTCACTAAGGGGTTGTTTACCAAACTCTTACCGGGTAAATGCTTACCCGATATCACTTACCTTACCGGGTGAGCATGGCAAGAACCGAGTAACTCGGTAAGTGATGGAGATGACTCTTACCGGGTAAAAAAGGCTTACCAACAATCATTTTGATGACCAAGAATATTACCCAATAAAGTAAATGAGGGTGGTGACTCTTGTTGGTAAGATCCTCGTTAGAGAATGACTTGTTGAGTTCAGTTGACATGAATGATGATAATATCAATTCCAAAAGTGCTAACCAGGTCAATTAGGGAGCACCATGAACAAAGTATAAGCAAAGAAAAATCATCCAACATAGCACACGTTCTACCATGCTACCATCATACCAGTGCCAATTAGGATCATCATGAGATTAGTAATAACAAACTCTTAATTAGGTAACCAACATTTTAGCTTGCAGATTAATTACGACAAGCATTTTAGCTTCCAAACTAATTACATTTAGTATGCATAATGCACATAGTCATCATGTGGTGTCTGGATCCAACATTTCATATAAAGAGAACATTTGTTTGCATGATGAGAAGAGAAGAAAGAACAAATTTCATATAAATTGCCATCAATGCAGACCGACTTTAGAACATGAAAGAAGCATACATTAAAAAAAAGTTAAACAGGACTGTATAGTGACCCAGCAATTTTTCCTACTCTTTTCACCTCATTAACATCATCAACTGTAAACCATTCCTTGCTCATCGATTCCGGGTGAAACTTGAACACTTCCTGAAGGTGCAAGACACTAAATTTCTACCAGCAATAAGGCCTAATCTAGCCTTAAATGATGTTGATCTACTAGTACTGCTAGAAGCAACATTGCTATCACCTCCAACTTGACTACCTACAGAAGGGTTCTCAACCACACCATCACTAGCTGCATCCTGACTCTCGACCTCTGTAGTGTCCAAATTGACAGCCAATGACCCCCTACTAGCCCTCAACCAACCAGCACCATCACCAGTCACTCCACGACATTTCTTCACCTTAACCTTTACCAAATTTGGACACCCACCTGCGAGTGCTTCCATTCCATGATCAGATACAGGGCAACTCTTGATGCACAGCTTCTTCAAAGCTGTGCATTTCTCAGCAATGCAGGAAATTTCAGCATCTCCAACAGTTTCGCTTCCACATAGTGCTAATCGCTCTAACTTCTGGCAATTTGTAGCCAGTAGCTCTAGACTGACACGAGTAGAATTAACACCAATAAGCACCAGCTCCTGAAGGTTAGGGCAGTATTTGGACACACCAATCAACCCTTCATCATTTATCCTATTCGTTTTCCACCCGTCAATGTGAAGCTTCCTCAAAAGCTTACAGTTCTCAGCAACAGAAATTAACCCTGAATTGGAACAATCGGGAGTTTTCAAGATGTGCAGTATTTCCAGATTTTGACAACGAGAAAGGGCTGCCAAGCCGGCATCACTCACCTGTAGCCTTTCCAGATGAACCTCTGTCAATCCCTCTACATGATCAGTAACAAGCTCCAATAGTCTATCCCAGTCCCCAGAACACCTAAATAACTTTACTGTTGTTAGATTCTTCGAGCCCATTATTAGCGGTCCAAAACACTGTGCATTGTAAAGATCCTTCAAGCAGATGAACTTAAGAGATAATGCAGCTAAACCAGGTCCGATAGGCTCCGCTGCCGCTCCAGTACTGATGCCACGTAAGCGCTTCACCGATAATTCTTCTAGAGACGAGCAATTGTCGACCAGAGCGTTCATTCCTTTAGCACCAAAAGTGCAAGATCCACACGAAAGCCTCTTCAAACCCTTGCAGTTCTTTGCAAAACTAGCCATGCCTAAATCCGTCAATTGTCGGCAAGATCGGAGCTTAAGGCGCGTAAGATTTTGGCAACGCAGAGAAATTAAAATGAGTCCATCGTCGCCGATACTCACGGATCTACGATCACATTTGAGGGAGAGTTTCGTTACGGAGTCAAATCGAGAGAAGAGAGACGGAACGACGGAAAGTAGTTCCGATTGGGCGTTGAGGGAGAGACGGTGACGACTCTGGCCCTCGATCTCAAGCCACCGCCGGCAAACGAGTGAACATTGTTTTCGGTCGCCGGATCCAAGGAACTGAAAAATGCAAGCAAGACATGCGTCTGGAAGAATCAATATATCTCCGGAACCCCATTCTTGTTCATCATCATCAACCTTTGTTTCCGTTAAAAGCACACGAAGTTCCTTGGGATCTTTGGCCTCCATGGATCTGCAACTGTGATTGACGACGTTGTCTCGGCGGAGATTAGCAACTCCGGCGGTAAATGAATGTGACTGGCCCATCCACGGCGGAGACGGCGTCTACGTGAGAACAATTGTCTCCGTCGGCACTATCGTATAGTTATGGTTTCCATCAAACAGCAATGGCATATGATATGGACTTCAAATTGTGATTTAAACACGGACTTAAAAAAAACTATATTACCACCTCGGATTAAGCCCAGGTTAAGTATGATGAGGGTCAGGTTTGATGGTTGCGATTTCATCACTAGTGGATGAGCAGGATAAAACTAGTGAAGACGCACGCATTGGAACGAGACCTGGGGTTGTGAGTTGTGACTGGGATTCCGACTGGTTAAACGGTCATGCAATGTGACCGAACATTATGTCATTGCCATCTTATTTTTTAATTTGAAATTTCATTTGAATCTCATTCTATCTTGGAGAAGGCTAACGACATCCTCTAGTTATTAATGGCATCAACTCTCTATACAATCATTTATCTTTTCTTTTTCTTTTTTTTTCTTATTTAAATATATAGAGAGAGAGATGGATTACGTTGCAAACCGCTCGATTCATAGAAACCATACAAACCACTTTCGACCAATAGAAAAATTCTGCTTTTTTTCTTTAATTTTAATAAGAAAATGTGTAATAGTCATTTCATTGTATATTGATTAATATTGGAAAATAATAAATAATGTTAATTTTGGAAACATAATAATGGAAACGTTTCATATAGAAGGAGGTAAATTATTTTTTTTAATATAATTTTTTTACCATTAATATGTTTTATTATTTTTTACCATTATATTTTATAAAAATATGAATTTTAAAAGTAGTAGAATATGAAATATGTGTTCCGTTTCATTGAAAAATATATGTACTTTGAGTAATGAAACTAATTTTATGTTCAATAATGACCAGCAAACAATTTCACAATATTTCAGAACGTTTTATGCATCATAAAACGTTCATTAAATAAAAAAAATATTCAGTTTTCAAAATGTCTCATTAAATTTGTAAAAATGTTTCATTCTTTCATCGTTCAACACTACATGACAAATCGGTATTTCTTTAATGGCAGTCACGTGAGTTCGTTCTATAAACGGTGAAACAGTTTCGTTCATTGATTTAATGATACAAAATATTTGATTTAGTCTGCAAAGTGTTTCATTATTTTTAGTTGATTATAGTATGTTTTATATTTCATAATTTATTAGGATATACCTAACTTATTGTAGGTGACAAGAAGGCACGTGAGTTCATTAGATGAAACAGTGAAATAGTTTCATTCGTGAAATTTAATGGTACAAAAAATTTGCTTTAATATTCAAAAGGTTTTGTTATGTTTAGTTGATTATAGTATGTTTTATGTTTCAAAATTTATTAAAATATACTTAATTTCATTGGTCCTTACTTGGATCTATTTTTATGGTGGATGTTATTTTGTTTATAATATTTAGATATAAAATGAAGATAATTTTTAGCAAACATATAATTTTTTAGATTATTCTAACATTTTTTGTTAGAATCTTTGTAATGAAACAATTTGTTCTCTAAACGGTGAAACAGTTTCATTCATTCTAATATATAATTTTTCAGTTTTTATAAACGGTGAAACAGTTTCATTCATCCATTTAATGAAACAATTCGTTCCCTAAACGGTGAAACAATTTTATTCATTTATTTAATGAAACAAAATCATTGCTTTCGTATCCAAAAGATTTCATTATTTTTTGTTGATTAAACTATGTTTTATGTTTCATAATTTATTAGGATATACCTAGTTTCATTGGTCCTTACTAGGATCTATTTTTAAGGTGGATGCTATTTTGTTTATAATATTTAGACATAAAATGAAGATAATTTTTATTAAACATATAATTTTTCATATTATTCTAACATTTTTTGTTAGAATCTTTGTAATTATAAAATAATATACAGAAAACAATGACTTTGTTTCATTAAGTAAACTATTGTGGATTTGACAAATTTATTTCATTAAAAAAACTATTGTGGATTTTGTTTCATTAAGGAATCTTTGAATAAAAGAAACTATCGATGAATATGTCTGTAATCATATTGTAGATTTGATAAATTTGCCTTTTTTTAATTAAAAATTATTATTTTTTATTTTCTAATATAAACTCATTTAATCTTGACCATTAATCAAGAAAATGAATAAATAAGATTGGTTTGTAAAGTTTTCACAAATGAAGGTGATTTGCAATGACAATTTCTAAAACGACCCCCTTCATCACTTTCGACCCCCTCCCTCACAATCTTTCATTTTTATATAATTTATTTAATAATTTACACTTTACACCCTTGAATTTATTTAATTAGTTTACTTTATACCTTTTAGTTTTCTATTTTTCATTTTATACTTCGATCTTATTAACACATATAATTATATATTAACTAAAATATGTTAAAACATAGGTTTTAATTTTAACAAGTTGCATCATTATAATCGTCTCATCAATACCTTCGAAACAAGTCCAATATTGAATATTTTTGGATTTAACTATATATAGGTCACTATAACGTATTGGTTACTTGATTTTTTTAAAGAAAAGAAAATCACTCGTAAGTGTTTTAACATAAATAAATATATTTGATATTTTTTATTCCAACAAATTCCAACTTTAATTAGTCACCTAAATTAACATAATCTTGATTACAAGTATTCTTGATACATATCAAATCTACGTTGGTATGAGACAATCCATGTACTTGCATCTGGAAGCCGATGACGTGGCCAATGATGTACGAGTGTGGGCATTGGGTATTCTCCGTTTAATACCACATTTATGTAATAGTTACTATTAACATGCACTATTGCAATTGACACGTGTTGGGATAATAGCGGCGGTTGTGTCCTGAATGGTAAGTATGTCACATTGCCTGCCCTATGACTGAGAACATGCAGTATGACATTAAACATTGAAGCAGCTAGAATTCCTATTTCAGGCATAGCGATCCAATACATTTCCGGTGCAAAGACGTTTTCCGTGAAAAAGTTCAACGCTTCGTAAATTCTTCCACACTCGTTGGCAATAACATAAGAGTAATAATGTTGATGTTCGGTTAGTTCAATCATTAACTCACGCCGAATATTTCCCCATGCGTTTTCATGACCACCCAAACAAGTAAGTATGGCTCGAAATCCACAATTTCCATCACCCACTACATCTTGTATCTGTGTGATGTATGGATGGAATAAACTTGGGATTTGATCAAGAAATGGGTTTGGGGGTGTGGGTTGTCGTTGGAAGTATGAGCTATGCCTTGCTGATTCTTGATAACCAAAATCTTCAGAGTTGATAAAGGTTGACGCGTTGGAACAACTATATCTACGAGAGTCGTCAATATTTTTTTTTATTTAGAGCTTGATTATTTACAGAAGGACGTCCACGTGTGGTTCTATGAACTGAAGGTTCATGAAACAACGTTTTTTTATGGCATAATTATATCCTTTAACTTTTTCAGCAAGCTCTTATGACCAGAAACTGGTTGTTTATTGAAATTTTCTTTAAACATTTGTACTTCATCATCACATTGAATATCCTCATCTTGTGCGGAGACACATGGCGAGAAATCAAGTTTTTTCCAAAATACATCAATCGCATCAAGTGGAAAGGGTACCCCTTGACATGTATATAGTGCTAGTTCATGCGCACATGGCAACCCACGACTTGTACGCATTTTACAACCACAATTTTCAGAAAATACGCTAGTTTCGAAAGACCGCGCATATTCACTGGAAATCATATCAAGTGCATTAAATGAAACAAGACCCCACAAATTTTGAAAATGTGGATTGTTATATCTATGTCTCCTAATAGTTTTACAAGATTCAAAACTTGATTTGATCGATGTATCTTGTGAATCAATTACCTGATCAATATGAGATAAAAAAAATTAGTTTTGCTTTTGTAGTCTCCAAATAACTTTTTAATTTGGCATGTTGGCTTTCAACTCTATTTGTTATGTGATTTCCAAAATTTAAATATTGATCAACCCACACAGATACGAACATTTTTTTATGTGGCGTCAACCATACACTATCCAGGTAATTCAAAACACCTGAAAAATATATCAAAAAATATACCAGTATATTTAGTAATAATGGTTAAACTAACTTATATCAAGAATACCTGGATAATTGAGCAACATTTCTTGAAGTTTGACCAAATTATACATGTACAAATCTTGATTTGGAGAACAAACTAATTGCGACCATGCTTGAAAAAAAGAATTCCACGATTGAGACTTGTGTATCGATGGTCTACAATGTTTGATAATATTTTGCTCTATGTGCCATATACAAAGCAATCTTTTAGCATGTAACGCCCCAACCCATACATTGCATGTAACACATATTTCATACCACAGGAATACATATTCATTTAACATTCGGGTCCCTTAGTACAAGAATCTATCATGACCAAATACAAGGTCCAAAAATTCAAAATACAATCTTGTACTAATCATCAAAACTATGCATCTAACGCAATTCTTTAATCAAAATGCTTGTAAGAAAAAGATTACATCTTTTCTTTTCCCTTACCTTCAACATGTCCTGCAATACATATTTAAAATCACAAAAACGAGGGTTAGATTGAAGAGTCTAGTGAGATACCCAATTCATGTCATTGCAGGGTGAAGGATCACCAAAATCTTTATAAAACAACTATTCACATATATAACAAATATATGAATATGCAAGAAGGTAATATCAAATCCTTTTCCACTTTCAAGCTAACCACGTAGCTATACAAATTCCATACCTTTGAACCAATTGGGTTCCATTTAATACCATTTTAAACATTTTCTTTATCAATTGAGGTTTAAACAAAGATTCAGGCCAAACCTG